GAGGGGGTGGGGGCAGGGGGGAGAAATAAACCAAGCCTTGTATGCACATATGAATAATAAAAGAAAAATGAAAAAAAAAATAAAATAAAATAAAATTATAGTTATTTTAGATTACATATACTATTATATTTAACTCTAAAACATATGCACAAACAAAAATCAAAGGGCAAAGGGTGACATAAATCTAAGTAGAACTTTAATAATTTCTTCTTGTACCCTCAGGATTCAGATCACACATCTGCTGGGACATTCTATGATGTATAGACCTTTTTACCTTTTTAACATGGAGACTCCATGAGAAATATAAAAACAGCCTTTTGGAACAGACTCATGAGTATGTGAAAATATTGGGATATGTATTGCATTCCATTTATGTGTAAATTAAACACATGTCAAATATATGTATTTCATAGAAATGTACATACATGGTAAGACTATTGAAGCCTATATGAGATTAATAAATACAAAATTCAGGATAATGACTTTTAAGTAAATACGGTAAAACATTAAGATTCAAAAAAGCTGGTGGTGGGAACAAAGCTTTTTCCATATAAATTTAAAATAATTAACGAAAAATCATTCATCAGAAAAAAGGCATGCTTTGGAACAAGACAGAACTAATTGTGAATAGCAGGCAGTCCAATAACTAGCTGTGTAACCTTGCCTTGGGAAAATTACTTAACTATAGTCAAAATATCTCATCTAGAATATGTAACAGTACATACAGAATGTCTGTTTTGGGTTAAATGACATAATGTGTGTGAATCTCTTGGTACAATACAATAGAACAGTAACTAGCCACATATGACTACTGGGCATTTACAATGTGGCTTCTCAAACTGATGAGCTGTAAAATATAAATACACACTGAATTTAGAAGAATGTACAGTATCTCAATAGTTCTTAATAAGAATTCATGTGGAAATCATGGATACAATGATTATCCATGGATACACATGGGTTAAACTATTAAAATTACAAATTAATGCGAGTTTAACAGAATTTTTTTTTATTTTACAATGGTGTGAAACAAATAGGCATTCTGCAGAGTCCATACTTTGACATTTTCCTGGCCTATGGATATGCAGAATGTTATGTATAGATGTGGGTAGCAACAGTGAGTTGCAGCTTCAAGTCAGTCACCACATCACCAGGGTAGGCAACCAATACTCTACACTGTACTATGTTGCTAGGATGTTCAAAAGCATAGGTATATTAAGGTCATTTTCGATTTAGTGTATTTTCAACTTACAGTGGGTTTATCAGGACACAATCCCAATGTAAGTTGGGGAGTCTCTATAATTTTACCAATTCCTTTTTACTTTTTAAAATGTGACTGGGAAATTTAACTCTGTATGTGTTTCACATTATATTTCTATTAGACAGCCATAGTCTAGAACATGGAAAGCAACCAATAAAAACTTCAAAGGTTCATTTTCCAATGTCAAGTAGTTAACACAAAATAATAAAAGTAAATTATTTATTATAAAAGTAAGTTCAGAAATTTCAAAACAACATATTAAAAATATATGAACACAGAGTTTCACCTAATCTACATAAACTTTGGACTGTAAAAACTGAATAAAACTAGAGCGGTTTTGGTTACCACTTCAGTGGGGTATGTGCCATTAAATCTACAGTTCTGATGTTCAAGTACTCACCGGAAGTTTTTGTTTTCCCATCATCAATACCAACAGCTAGTGATTCCATCATGTCAGCTTTTATTCTATGAAATTCTGATGGATGCATTCTTCCCCTATTTACTTCTATTTCCATATGATGTAGTTGCTGTTGTTTGTATCCTCCAGAGTGATCTAAACCATATTGTTGCTGTTGAACATAAAAACAAATGAGTTAATTTTTATCCCCCTGTACTTCAATGAGGTGCAAAGTTTCTATAGTTGTATTTATCTGGAAATATATGTTGGAGCATTCTAGTTTATGGACTTATGATGCCTAAAGATTAAAGTCAACTTAAAGATTTTTATGATAACCAAAACACACATACATGTCCCTAACAATAATTAATTAACCATTTTTCTATAAACAACTACTTGCATTTCTTATAGTAGAATAACTAGAATACCCTTTCTTCTAAAGGTGTTGTGAAAGAAAGAAGAGTTCCAAACACACTGCCAATATTTTTCAGGAAACTAGTTGTCCTTGTTATTTGGTTCTGAGGCTAGTCTGCAAAGGCTTACTTCATCAGCAATCTTTCAGACAATGATGCTACGTAGTAAATGAACTGAGTTTTTGTACACTGGACTGAGAATCTCAAATAATATGTACAAAACTGTCTCTGTGGAAAAGCTTCTTGAAATCTAAACAACTTGCAACTTGCATAACAAACCTCCTTACACATTGGAAGCATTTTGTACTAATAATTTTCAAAGGGCGTTTTGCCTTTTACATAGAAAAAAAGACTTAGAAAAAGCCAATTTTCTTTCTTCCTCAGAATTCTGGTGGGAAACTATTTTGAGAATAATTTGATATTGCAAAAAAAAAAAAAGTCTGGGAAAAATGTATAATGCAGATGAGTATATTAAAGGCTTTGAGAAACATACAAAACTATTTAACTGATGTATTTAAACTTATATGACCAGAACCCTTTTTACTCATACACTATC